CCTTGTCCTAGTAATTTTTGAATAATCTTCAGCAAGATTTTGCTTGCATGTGTTAATGATATTGTTCAGTGGTTTACACATTCTGTTGAATCACCTTTTTTTGAGAATGAGACTACATATGAACCTCTTCTAGTCAGTTGACCAGGTAACTATCTTCCAGATTTTTTTGGCACAGGTTCATTAGCACATCCAGGCTTGAACTATGTCAGTTAATACTCCATCAATTCCTGAGGTTTTATTTCCCACCCCCCACCCCCCAATTCATTTAGAACAGTCTGAACTTCTTTTTTTGTTACCTTTGGTTCTTGGTCATATACTACCTCCTAAACTGGTTCTATGTCAGCCAATTCTTTTTGGCAGAGTGATTCTGCATATTCCTTCCATTTTCTTTTGATGCTTCCTTGATCATTTAAGATTTTGCCCATGTCATCTTTCAGTATTTCAACTCAAGACTTTAATTCGTTCTTTAGTTCCTTCACTCACCTTGAGAAATGCCAAGTGAGTTCTTTCCTTTTCATTTTTTTACTCCAGTTCTTTGTACATTTCAGTATAATACTTATAGACTTGATAATTAATACAGGCTCAAAAGGCTGAAGTTACATGACATTATAAAATGCAAGGTAATCCCAGTGTGATTGATCTGTAAGCAATTAAACCTGAAAGGCACTTACTTTAATTCTGAATTTACCCTGACTCTTAAATAAATTTGAGAGTTGTTTTAAAAAAATCTATAATTCTTTAATTACAATTTAAAATCATAGTTGTGCAAAATAAATTTGAGTTTTAAGAATATGTATATAAGGGGAGCTCTGGTGGCCTAGTGGCAAGGAGCTGCAACTACAATCCCAGAGGCGCATGGTTTGAATCCACCAGATGCACTGCCAAGGAAGGAGGGACAATCTCCTCCTGTACCTGTCAGATCTGATTTGACAGTACACTCACACAAAAATAATAATAATAAAAAAAAGAATATGTATATAAAAGTGAATTTACAGGAGAAACCCACTAAATTATTATTTACAAAATGCAGCTATGATGAATTACATTAGTAGAGTTTGTTTATATTTACGTATCGTATCATAAAATGATTCTTGGTTTAAAGCTTATTTTAACATGTGGAATAGTAAAATTAATTTTTACTTAATTGCTTTCTATTTTTTAATACAAGGAAACCTTTTCATAGCTAACCAAATACTTAAAATTATGTAATAATTTATGTGTTGTTGTCGTTGTGTACCATCAAGTAGAAACTGACCCAGAGCTGACCCTCTGTTGGGTTTTCAGAGGCAGTTATTCACATGGGAGGAGATTGCCTATCCGTCTTCTGCAGAGCAGCTGGTGGGATTCAAACTATGTGCCTTTGGGATTACAATGCAGCTTCTTGCTGCGAGGTTACCAGAGCTCCCTGTGTGGGAAAATATAAAATGCTTTTTATAAGTTATGCTAAGATTTTAGTTTTGATGAATAGTTAATGTAAATGGGTTTCCTAGAAGAAATGTAAATTTGTGTTTTGTAATGGAAAAACTTAAATGCTATAAATTTTATAATAAGTGGATATCAGCACATCAACATAAGATTTTGTTTGCAGCATCAATAATTAGCTACTAAGGATATTAACAAAAACTCTCATTACCAATATTAACAAAAACTTCAAAACATCTAGGAATGATCTGTATTCAGGGTTTTTAAGAAGGTGTCCCAGTGTGTTACTTGAAATGTTAGCAGTCTTTCTCAGGGAGAAAGAGAAAATATTCTACTCCTATAAAGACAACCTTGGAAACCCAGCAGTGTGTACCCATGAGGCCTACTCAGTGGCAGTGGATTGTCAGGAGAATCAAGCCATAAATTTTTTTAAAAAAAAAAATACTTTAAAAAAAATCATAAAAGACTTAAATAAATGGTGATGTAAGATTCCTTGACACCAAAAACCAAACCTGTTTTGATTCATGTCATTGTTGTTATGTGCTGTCTGGTACTCATATCTGCTCTGAGGGAGACAGATGGGCAGACAGTCTCTTCCTATGCAGTTTGTTACCTTTGGAGAGTCAGCTATGAGTAGGTTCTGACTCAACAATATATGACAACAAAATATTTTTCTCCAAATTAATCTCTAAGGTCTTTTAAGCCCTGTCAAAATTTAAACTGGATTTTTAGTAGACCTCACCAACTAATCATCACATTCACCTAGAAGAATAATATCTAAGAGGGATTTTTTAAATTGTAATTTTAACAAGAGTTTGCAGAAAAGTTGGATTTTCATTCATTCATTATTACATATTTTCCTCGCTAACTCCTCCCCAAGTCCAATTTAAAAAAAAATTTCTTAATTGTTGCATAATTTCCTCCTTCCCCCTAGTCCACTTTGCTATGCACTTCTTATTCTGGTCTGTTGTCATACAGATAATACCAGATCATTTAATGCCTAATATTTCTTTTGAACAGTTCTTTCCTTGATCTGTTCTAATGCCATGTTCATTTTTTATCTCTTTTCTCAGTTTCTCCCCTACCCCATGTCAATCCTATTTTATAACAGTGGTATTATTCAGTATTTGTCCTTTTGTGACTGAGATATTTCACTCAGCCTAATGCCCTCTAAGATCACCCATGCTGTGAAATATTTTATGAGTTCCTGATTTTTCAGTGCTGTGTAGTATTCCATTGTGTGACTATACCATAGTTTTTCTATCCATTTGTTGATGGGCACTTGGGTTGCATCCATCTCTTTGCTGTTGTGAATAATGCAGCAATAAACATGGGTGTGCATACATCTGTTTGGTTGGCAGCTCTGGATTCTTTAGGGTATGTTCCTAGTAGTAGAATTGCTGGGTCAAAGGGTATTTCTATTTCCAGTTTCCTAAAGAAGCACCAGACTGCCTTCCATAGTGCTTTTAGCATTTTACATTCCCCCCAGCAGTGAATAAGAGTTCTAATCTCTCCACAACCCTGCCAGCATTTGTTGTTTGCCACCCTGTTGAACTTGGAGATTGTTGCTGGAATGAGATGGTATTTATAGTTGTAAGAATGGTTTTTAAGAATAAAAAAAGATGTATTACTGGGAGGGGAGGGCTGGGCAGGGAGAGAAGTGCAGCAATGAATGAATGGAAATCCAAAACCTCTGTAAATGTTCATTAAAATTATTTTTAAAAGTTTATATGAGAGAAAAAAAAGATGTATTACTAATGTTTGTAATAGCATGATTCACAGTAGCCAAAAGATGAAAATGACCCAAGTGTTTATGAACACATAAATAGATACTGCCTCTGAAAATCTGCTGGAAAGTCAGATATGAGTAGGTTCCAACTCAACAATACATAATAACAAGCAATGTTAGGGAGTGCTGGTGATAAGGAATTGTGCTGCTAAAGGCAAGTGGTTCAAATCCACCAGCTCTTCTATAAGAAAAAGATGGGCATCTTCCTTCCATGCAGTTTGTTGTTTATTGTTGTTTGCCCTGCAGTCAGAAGCAACTCATAGCTTACCCTCCAGTAGGTTTTCAAAGGCAGTAAATAACACAGGAGGAGATTGCCCATCCTTCTCCCATAGTAATTGATGACTTCAAACCCTGTGCCTTTGGGATTGCAGTGTAGCTTTTTACCACTGGGCCACTAGAGAGTCAGCTGTGAGTCAGTTCCAACTTGATTGCGCATCACATTTAGGACAATTAGATCGTTTAAAGAAAAAAAATCATACTTGATGACATAAACCAACAAAAAAAAAGTGATAGCTTAAGGATCTAGATATGAAAGTACTAGAATGCAAAGATGTATATTTTTATCAAGAAAGATGTGCATTAAGACTATCGTTTCCTCAAGTGTATTCAGTCTATATGCTGAACAAATCATTTAAGAAGTTAGACTATATGAAGAAACATGTGGCATCAGAATAGGAGGAAATTGGGGAAGCAGTGGAATGCTCACAGATGGACATTTCGGGGTGGTTAGAGTCAGTGGGAAAGCGTGATTATAGAGGAACGTGGATAATGGCGCTCATGGATTTTGAACTTTGCCTTGGTTCTTAAATTCAATTGGTCAAGCATTCTTCTAAGTGGCATAGCACTGGTCTGTCCATTTGCTGTACAGAGTAAATCCTGGTTGCTGTGATGCTGCACACTGACGCTGATGTGGCAAAAGTGATAATGGTTACCCATGGTGGACAGTGTTTGTTGGAGCTCCCTGATTAAAACAAGCTTGGAAGCAGGAGTGTCACCCACTTCCAAAATAGCTTGCCTCTGGAAACCCTATGAACTTGGAGAAATGATGAAAGTTATATAAGTGTTCAGGTTTTTCGTTCATAGGGTTGCTATGAATCGTCTACAACTCGATGGCACTTAACAACAGTAACACTTTTTTATAAATCATAGGCCATGTAGGGTCTACCATCATGTTATATAACACTCAGAAGTATTGAGGGAAGAGAAAAACCATTGGGGGAAAAATATATAATTTATGTGTTACAACACCATAACTTTATTTAAAGACTGGTTTAAAAACTAAAAAGAAGGGAGCTCTGGTAGCTTAGTGGTAAGACACTGTGCTGCAGTCCTGAAGGTGCATGGTTCAAATCTACCAGATGCTCTGCTGGAGGAGGGGTATTCTCCTCCTGTGCCAGTCAGATCTGATTTGATCGTACACAGAAGGGGGAAAAAAGAATATATTTTTAAAAATTAAAAAGAATACTGTAATGAATTTGTCTATAAAGCCAAACCACATTCAGTCTATTTATTTACAAATCTGCATTTTCATCTATCATATTTTGTAAAAGTTAGATAGACCAATATTGAAGCCTTCCAATTAATTTGTCAGGCCACTTAATAATATTATCAGGAATTTTTGTAGAGGTTTACTATACAGGATTAAATTTTTATCTAAATTGAAATTTTCTTTGCATAACTATCTTTCTCACACACTAAGCTCTAAAACCATATAGCCAATATAAAATTGCACTGGTATTGAAGTACATCAAATAACCAAATAAGTAAGTGGATTTATTGTTCTACATAGAGATTAAAATGGCTTCCAGAGGAAAGACAGAAACCAGCAAATTAAAGCAGAATTTGGAAGAACAGTTGGATAGACTAATGCAGCAATTACAAGATCTGGAGGAATGCAGGTAATCTTATAGTTGCATGTTGCTGTGCTGTAAAACAGCTTTTTTCTACCATAAGATTAATTATAAACTGTGAGTGCAGACCCATGTGTGATTTTGGTTTCCCCTGTGGTGGTCTTCAGGCTTTGTCTGTTGCTGAAAGAAACTCTAAATTGTCTTTGGAGTCATAAAGACTGAGATATGAATGCCTACCAATTAATTACTAGCTGCATGTGAACTTGGGCTAAAATACTTAACCTCATTAAGTTTCCATTTCCTCGTGTGTGAAGTAGATTCGTATCTACTTTGTCTTTAGTATTTGAAGCAGCCCTACCTAGTCCTAGTCCATTGAGAAGTTGAAACTTGAACTTTTATGTGTTTTCAGACTTACTTACTCAAAGCGCCAAAACTATTCATTGAAGTTTTTAAACAAATTGCAAGATTATTTTATTTTTCCATTATTATTTAAATAAAAATTTATAAAGCAAATTGGTTTCACATTGAACCATGTTTACACATTTTGTTTTATAACATTAATTAGAAAACCCACAATGTAATCACTTTTTTCATTTCCTCCCTTTTATTAATCCTTCTATTCTACCCTTTGCTGTCTTCTGGACTTTACCCTTGAGCAGGTACTTTCATTTTGTCCTTACTTGGGTGGTTACATGAGGAGGTTATGCCTCCCTGATACTGTTATTCCACTTATAGGTTTGTCTATTGTTTTACTAGAAGTTGAGCACCCTCCCCTCCCAGTGGGTTTTAGTGCAGGTTCCTAGGATGACTAAGGGCCATAGTCTTGGGGTTCCACTACCCTGTCTGGGACTAGT